GAAATAGTGAAATACCTAGTTAAAGACAGCTTTTTGGTACAATCATTTTGAAGAGCCATAAAGAAAGTATCTTCATAAGAAATCCATACCAGAGGAGCTAGAGAAACTGCAGGGGAGCAAAAGGCCTCCAAGAGCCCTTAACACTTACAGGTAACTGCTGGGCATCAGCATCCAGGTATGATAAACAGAATCTCAATTCCAAGAGGACTCGTAGCTCTCCAAGTCAAGAGATATTTCAGAGAAATGTAAAGGTCTAGAAGCTGTTAGCCCTCCAGCGCCCCAGGACTAGTTTTGATGCACACGAAGTATCCCCCGTACTTGCCACATCCTAGCTGAGAACAGTGCTAATGCATGACTACAATCCCACCAGCTCTGAGCAAGCGATGCTCCCTCATCATGTCAACTGCTTTCTACTCCACTCTGGGAGCAGAGGCTTCAATTCCCATGGTCCTCCCCTGAAGCTTGGAACTAACGGTTCTTACCACCTGTGAAATTACCAGCACCAACCAACAGCCAGACATTTAACAGTTACCCACGTCAGTTTTAAAGGAAAAACAAATGCAAACCAACATTTTTTTCATGGGAAGCATTAGTCCATCAGCACTCACCTGATGCTGGAGGCAAAGTTATGTCTCAAACTGCGTTAAGAGGTCTCTTATTTCTGGAGTCAGGTGCTCTACCGCCTTTGCAGCTTCTGTGATAGCTTTCCGGTACATCCCTTTCTTCTTGCGATTAAATCTCAGTTTGAAAAACTCAGAGAAAGGAGAGAGTTTTGAAACAGATAAGAAGGAAGTCGTTGGAGAACCAAACCATGATACTTTAGCTTCTCGCCACGAAGGCTCCCCGTTTTCCTTCTGGCTAAGGTTTATGTCAAGAACACGTGCTGGCCACCATGGAAAACCATGAATTTTACCCCAAACAATATCCCCCACCGCAACAGTCCTTCCGTCTTCCGTGACGCATTTGGACACGCTCTGGGTGTGCAGTCTGACTGTCAGGGGCGGCACCATTTTACGCTCATCTTTTGAAGATGAAGAGACGGACGCATCATCACCAGGCAAAAAGTCACACATTTCTGGTGATGTTACTTCTGAACTAGAAGACTTGGATTCGTCTAGACTGTCATTGCTACACACTGATAAACTAGAAGAATCTGCTTTTCTTTTCCGATAGTTCATAAGGAAAGCCAAGTTATCGTGTCCCTCTTTACCCTGGGGAAACCTTTTAAAGTCATCATCTTCACCTGAGCTCCCTGAAGATACCTCGGCTAAACTTCTGTCTGCGGATTCATCGTTGTAGAACGCGCCAGGGTTGGATTCCCTGCTGTTCTGCAGGACGTTGATTTCATCGATCAGTTCTGCCTTATAAATTGAGACACTCTGACCATCGTTGATGCGATGGGGCTTCAGCCGGATCTTTGGGGGCGGGACGTCGGCGCTGGGGTGCACCGGCCGCGTCAGCTTCAGCTTTGGAATGGAAGCAAGCTGGCTGCCTGCTGACTTGTCCATTAAACATTTGGTTTCTCGACACCGTTCAGAGTCTCTGGTCTCCTCTTGGTCCTCCCCTCCGTTCTGCAACGTTCGCTCTGGACAAAACGGTTTGACTGAGCCGTGCACCCGGGAAGGGATTTTCACAACCTCGCCTTTCCCCTGCGGGGTGCTGTAGGATATCTTTATAACCGGCGTTCGATGCACCAGCTCCCCTGAGAATTTGTCCTCTTCCCTCTTTTCCCTTTTGTTCCTTTTCTCCGCGTAGTCGGAGTCACTGTGCTTTTTCTGCTCCTTGTCCTGGACGCTCAGCTTCCTCCTGGTCTTCGCGTTCTGCCTCGCCGCGTTCTCATCCTCGGGGTTCAGGGTGTTCTTGCACTTCTCACAGAGCACCTGCCTGGGGCGCAGCCGGATGGTGCTCATGATCAGCCTGCCCGGGTCTCTGTTCCGCGACAGACGCCTCCTCGTCCTCTTGATAGTCCGTGGGGGCGGCTGAGGGACCCACTGGTTGTAGCTGTGCCGCAGCCACAGCGGGTGAGGGAAGGGGGCTCCCTCGAAGTAGGGGGGGTAGGGGGGCAGGCTGCCGGGCGGCGGGGCGGGCAGGAGCGGGGGCAGCTGCTCCTCACCCCTGCCCTTGGGAGGCTTTTCCCCG